AGAGAGATGCAAGTTAAACCACAAGATATCACCTGACACCTGTCAGAATGACTGTCACCAATAAATCAACAAACAACAAGTGCTGGCGAGGGTGTGGAGAAAAGGGATCCCTTGTGCACTGCTGGGGGAATGCAGACTGGTACAGCCACTGTGGAAAGCAGTGTGGAGTTAACTCAAAAAATTAAAAATGGAGCTGCCTTATGACCCAGTGATCCCACTTCTGGGAATATATCCAGAGAAATCTGAAACACTAATTCAAAAGAATATATGTACCGTATGTTCATTGCAGCTTTATTTACAATTGACAAGATTTCAAAGCAGCCCAAGTGCGCATCAGTAGATGAGTGGATAAAATGGCTGTGGGACATGTACACAATGGGCTACTACTTGGGTGTAAAAAAGGAGATCTTACCTTTTGTGACAGCATGAATGGACATGGACAGTATTATACTAAGTGAAAGAAGCCAGGCAGAGAAAGACAAGTACCACATGATTTCACTTATATGCGGAATCTAATGAACAAAATAAACTAACAAAATAGAGACAGACACATAGATACAGAGAACAGACTGCCAGCTGCCAGAGGGGAGGGGCTGGGGACTGGGTGAAAAAGGTGAGGGACAACAACTCATAGACACAGACAACAGCGTGGCGGTTACCAGAGGGACAGGGGGCTGAGGGGAGGTAGAAGGTAAGGGGGGCGACATGTAATGATGGAAGGAGACTTGACGTGGGGTGGTGAACACACAATACAATATACAGATGATGGATTATAGAACTGTACACCTCAAACCTATATAATTTTATCAGCCAATATAACCCCAATAAATTCAATTTTAAAAAAACCACACACACACCCCCAGAAAGACAATATAAAGGATAACCATTTTCATTCCAGGTCTAAGTCTTCAGGGGGAGACACCTTTGGCCAGAAGTGTACTGTTCTGATTTATGGTGCCCAAGAGGAGCATTTTTCTATTTTGGCCCCATTCCCCACCCCCGTAACAACCTAACACATTGTAGTTGCTGCACCATCTGGCTCATATAATAGTTTTTATTAGTTGTTCTTAATTTCAAACGTGACCCAAACATCACCTAGGTTTCTAGTTGCTGAAGAGGATGAAGGTATCAACTCCTTTGCCATGACGAGAGTACATCATTTAGATCGGCATGTTGGCATGTTGGCTGGGACAATTACATGTACTCAGTTCCAGCTTTTATGTGATAGAGTCCACGTGGTGGACTTCAGTGGGCTTCTGGAAAGCTAACAAGTTACCCTGATCTGCCCGAGCGGGGGGCAGCCACATGACCCAGGCTGGTCTGATTGCACACCCCTCCCCAGAATGTGAATTTTGAGCCGAGTAATGTGGAGACTAACATGGTGTGAGGCCATTCTGGCAATGGTGGCATCCTGACCAGCAATGGCTTTTTTCCATCGTTTTTCTTCCAGCCCTGCAGCCCATTTCTAAGGCTGGATCGCTGGTCCTTTAACCTGCCTGTACACTCCTGCTTCTTTACCGCAACTTCCCTTCGGCGTAAGTTAGCTGAGATCTGTTTCTGTTGCTTGCTACCAATGAACTCTAACTGACACAGCCCCCATCTCAATGTAGCTATGAGATTTGAGGGCCATCGGAAGAGAATCCCTGATCTTACTGTGGTGCTAAAATTGCCTTCTTACTCGTTCCTTTGTATGAAGGCATAGGAAACTATTATAAAACAGGAAATATTAGTTAAGGTTACGCTTGCAGCTGTTTATTCCTGACACTTGAGTTATGTTTTAAGGGTAGCCTCCCTTCACTTGTCAGAGAACAGCGGAACAGGGCGTAGGACCAGTAAGTGCTGATAGGAGAGAATGAAAGGCCTGCAAGATTGGATTCTTCAAGATTTCAGGGATGACTGAATCGTAAGGTTTTGCGTACCCAGAAAGAATCATGAGTTCACAAGACACTGGAGAAGGGAGAAATGGAGCAAAGGGGGAGCAGAAGATGCTGAAGGCAGTCCTTTGAGCTGTCTGCCTGATGGCAGCCACAAGGGGGCACTGCTGGAACTCTGAGAAAGGGTCTGAAAAATGAGTGGTGCAAGGGGAAAGTGTCTCACATTCAGCAGGACAGCTGTGTGACCGCAGCTAGGACTCCTGAGGAAAAAGATGTTTAAAAGGACACTGACAGTAAGGAGGCGATGGTAACTGGAATAGAGGAGGTGAAAGAACTGTGAGGCCAGGATATTGGATGGGTCATTGGCATAGATGTCACTTGTACAGATTGGTTGATGACAACGGCTAGGAAGGACAAAAGGCTGGATAGCTACTTAACAGCATCTCCAATGAACAGTGGCCTTTACATGGAAGTCGAGAAATAAGAGATTGTAAACGAGAGCAGGGCAAGGAGGATGTCGCCTTTGACTCCAGACCCTGACATATGTGCAGTGTGGGAGGAAGAGTGGAAGTCACCTGATCAGGCTACAGGGGTAGAGGTGGCTCTGGGAGAGAGCTCAGCTCAGCTAAGGGTGAGAGATGAAGGAAGACATCATTGGCATGAATTAAGATGAAGCAGAGTTTGCCAGACCATGGAGTGTGTGTGATGGGGGAGGGCAGGCCAGTGGGAGCCAGCGTCCAGAAGAGGAAACCCGTAACAGTGCGGGGGTGAGGGAGCGGGAGAGGATGGATGACGTGGGCGGTCTGCACACTGGGTGGTGGCCAAGGTCAACAGATACGGGAGTCATGGCCGAATCAGCTGACTTGCGGTTCCCCCAAGGGGGCAAAGAAGGATTTGGTGCCGGTGCAGGCTAGAGTTCCATGACACTACAGACTGCTGATTGCAATTTAAAACAATATGTTGGTATTCAAGGGTCTAAGAAGTTAGTTCCCAAGGCTATGGTCTTGTCGTGGAAATGGCAGAGGCAGCCCCCAGGGGTCAGGGAGAGTGGTTACCTGAGTCTGGATTGTGCTTTGAAATCCTAGATAGGCCAAAAAAGGATTTATTTTTCTTTCACTTAATAAAACATTGAGCAGTGACTAGCCTGGGACAGGGGTAGAGATGCCATAATGTTATCAGTGACCCAAGCTTCCTCCAGCTACGCACTCCTTCATTGGGTGTGGTCCTTGCCGTCATGATCACAAAGTAGCTCATAGAGCTTGTGCCTTCACAACCACATTGAAGGCAGGGAGGAGGAAGAGAAGTGGCAAAAGTGGGCTGCCAGCTGATGACCCTTGAATGATCCTTCCTGGAAGCCCACCAAAGCTTCAGTGGCCTTCTCCAACTGAAAGGAATTTTGAGAAATGCAGTCTTTTAGTTGAGTACATTGCCCTCTAACCCCCCAAGTATATTTATATATGGTTATATTAGTAAGGAAAAAGGTGAGAATGGATACTGGGTAGATAACTAGAAGTCTCTGCTACAGATATTAGAGAAACATGAAATATTATTCAACTTAGCTCAGCTTTGTGCATTGATTTTTTTTATCCACATATAACATGATTCCCAGGCCTCCCTATTTCATTTTTGGTTCAACATCTCTTCCTTTAATCTGGATCACTGGGACACTGTCGTTTATTATAAGTTCTCCCCTCTATCTCCCTTTATTCTAAGCCACAACTATGGCCTCAAATTTCCTTGGTCACTGAATGGACAGGAAGTCTTCTTCAGATTCTACCACAGTATTTGAAACCACATGTATCAGTTAGCTTTTGCTGTACAACAAACCGCTCCCAATTTTAATGTCTTAAAACAGCCACTTTATTATCTCTTATAATTCTGTGGGCTGATTTGACGTAGCTAGGCAGGTCTTCAACTCGTCTCACTAGAAGCACTATTTTGGGGGCTTCTATAACTAACAGTTACCCAACAGCTACAGCTACAGTCCTGTGTAGACTTTGTGTGCCAAAATTACTTCACACTAAAGAAAAACAATGTTTCCCCACCCCCACCAGAGTTTCAGTATAAAAAACTTTAAGAGTAAGACCACAAATTTTGAAGAGTAATGAGTGGACCACCTTCTCTCTTTCCTTCCTTCCCCCTGTGGACCAATGCCTTCATTGCTTTAGGGGAGAGCAAGGAAATATCTAGAGAACCTTCTATTTGGGAGCTATCTTAGAGCTATTTGTCACTCAGAACCTTAAAGCAGAATATCCTTTCATCCTCAGAGAATTTACTCAGGATTCATTACCACACAAAGCTGTTCTTGAATTTGGAAGAAAAGAGAAACAGAAAAGAAGGCATCCATCTTTTTTTGAGTCCTGCTACTTGCTTAATTTAGTTTTAGGTTCTCTGAGGCCTTGAATTCAATAACTTATGCTAATTTCCATTGCATTTATGAGGCCTAATAAAGCAGCCATGTGTTCCCATAATAGAAAGTAATTTTAAGAATTTTTAAGAATATAAAGTATTTCCATAGAGAAAAGAATAAAAACCACATTTCCTAGCAAAGTAAATAATTATACACATAATTATACAAATAATTATACACATAACTAAATGTAAAATCAAACAAGCACGTTTTCTTACTTAGAAAAACTTAAAACATGACACAAGGTGATTATTTGGATATTATTACAAAGAATTTAAATATACACATTTGGTTATAAAAGATCAGGCTAAGCCACTCAGGTAAAAGTCTATCTGTGACATCATAGTTTCCAAGAAGTGTCATAAAAGTCACACAGGTAAATATTTCTCTGTGCTTTTTGTTTATTATTTGTAATTCTAGAAATGTTGTATAGAGAGGTTCATCAACTCATGTAGACAAATCAAATATACTGGGTGAAAAAGCTAAGCTGACATTTCCACATTTTATCAATTCAGAAATGAATTTAAAGCAAATATTGATGCATCTATACAAGAAAGACATCTTACAATAATGTTCCTGTTGGTACATTACAATCTTTGTTTGTATTTTTAAAATGGAGGGGTGTCTATGATGTAATGTCAAAAAAAAACCCCAAACAAACACAGAGAACGGACGTTAAAAGTCAAATATAAAGATACAGAAGACAACAGTAACATTCAAGCATCCACTGATCAAAGGCCGTCTGGATACACCCGACACCAGCATGACACTGTCTACGGCAATTTTTCCGGTTTTGCCCTTACACGTTCTGCTTCAAAAATGATCTAATAATGGAGAGGGAATAAAAATTACTTCAAAATATTCAAAACAATGGTATAATCAAACTATTTAACAGCTATTAAAGAGGACTAAACTCGTGTCCCTACTGCGCAGGAACACACTTTGACATTGAGTAGTAGTAATATATTCTATTTTCCACATGCCAGCTATCCATGCTGAACGAGTTATGCTCAGAGAAAACAGGGTCACTGGAACACCTAAACGAACCTGGGAAGCCCTGGAATGCCGAGAAGGGTAAGGTTTGAGAAATTTTTGAACTCCCATTTAAAGAAAAAAAGCAAAAATAAAAGAATATGATTTTCTTTAAAAAACTGGCTAGAAGAAATGTCATATTCCCTGTGAACATCTAATGTAGAACTATATAGTTGAAATGGAATTATCTGGATATATTCAGATTTTGGTAGTTTGTAGTAGTATAGTGATTTTTCTTAAAATATTGATTTGCATATTCAGAGATTATCTGGCATGTCATTGTTTTCATGTATTGAAAATGTTTCATGATAAGTTATAATCACTTTTATCTAAGACATTTATTAATAATCAAAAGAGAAGCAGCGGGGTAGGAGGAGGTAACATGTCCCTTCTCCCCAGGTTCTAGAAATATACTTTTGTAGGATTTCCTCTCTCTGTTAGGGGAGATGATGTCATTGGCACACTAGTTCTTGGATGGGTGGTCCTGGGTCTACTTCTTACGTGGTTAAATCCAACAGCCATGGAGCCAAGAACAGGCAAGGCAAAATATAAAGGGAGCAACGGATGCCTGGTAAGAAGGAAATGCAGTCTCAGTGCGGGGGATTCAGGGTGGGCTAATGGGGAAACCGTCCTTCAGGGGCTGGGGCTTATGTTGGATTCTGTAGATCTCCAGTTCATGGAGAAAACTGAAGCTTAAGTTCTGCTATAGAATTTTCTTCCCTACAATTGTCTACTTCGGTTTTTAAAATCATAACCACATGACTGTGAAATTCTACTTTCCTTGAGTGGGCCTATAAAAGGTACCTTCAAGAAGGAAAAATGTAGGGTTTGGCAGATCCATCTGGCAAGGGTCTCTCTGGTTTGGGGTGTACTGCATGGAGATCTGGGCAGACAGACAACTGTGCTTGCAGGGCAGGCGGGCTAACTTTTCTGGGAGTGGAACGAGAGGGTCTGTGTCAAACAGCTC